GGGGTGTAGGTTCCAAAACATATCTTGATTGATCGAGTTCGTCGAATGTGGAAACCTAGAGATCCTATGAAGGTGACCCCACTTAGGAATGATTAATATATTGTGTCTTTTACTAGTCGAGAAGATAGGGACGACGCTTTCTAGGAAGGGCCTTGGATGATTGATGATCATTACTTAATTGTGTAATGGAGACCGAATTTTAACCTGTGGAAAGCAGATGTGCAGCATAAGATAGCGGCATGGGTTCGTATTCCTGATCTTCTGATGGAATTCTACAATGTGGAATACCTAGGAATTATTGTAAACATGATTGGAAAAACTATCGAAATGGATCACTCTACTTCAATTTATGATAAAGGGGGGTTTGCTCGTATTTGTGTCAAAATTGATCTTCATCAACCTCTGTTACTGGCTTTCATGGCATTTGGTGAGGAGTGGCAATTAGTTTATGAGGGTCTTCATCAGGTATGCTTTCAGTGTGGAAAATATGGCCATGAGAAACATCAATGTCCCCAGGCTCTAAACTCGTTCGGCACAGAGAATGGGAGTAATAGTGCAGGGAATGAGAACGAAGGAGGGAAGAAATTACAGTCTCCGGTGGCCGGAATTATGACAATGGTAGCAGATACACACTTAGGACCCCAGATGTTGGTTAGCTGAGATTTCTGACACAATATTGGGGTGGCGGGGAAAAAGGGATATGATGGAGGATATATAGGAGAGGAAAAGAAGGGATATGATGGAGCGAATAAAGGAGCAGATCATAAGGGATATGGAGAATAACAAGGGGAAGACTGGGAAGACTCAATCAAGGACCAAGAGAGTTTATAGACCCGTGGGAGAGAAGAAGGATAAACAAGAGAAAAAGTCAACTATATTTAGTAATGATCGAACATTTGGGGATACGAGGAAAAGAGAATGACTTGGAAAAGGCAAAAAGTCAACATAAGTAAGGGATCAATCTTAACGAGCAGCCTGTGGAATTGTTCAACCCATTTACCTCCCTTCAAACTAGACTGTTGGAGGGTGAGGCCCAAAACCAATCCCTTGAGTTTGATCATATCAATACTGGGCCAAACCCAATTACACGAAACTCTTTTGGACCCAACGACACACAAGCTGTACAGAGCATGGCTGGTTTATTTCTACTGAATCGTGAATCTGATGTTAATGCATCAAGGATACAAGATGGGGATATAATGATAAGTGGGGTCCACGAGCATGTTTTACAAAGCGAGATTATGCATACTCAGATGGATGTTGTCCAAAAGAGGGACATTGAAATTTCCTAGACACCTACTATTGTTTCTTTATGAATTTCATGATTTAGAATTCCATGGGTACAAGCGCGAAGACATTTCCTAGCCTAATACAAGAACTTAAAAAACATTTTTGTTTGGATTTTCTTGTTTTGGTTGAGACTCGATCAAATAAAAAAAAACTGAAAGTCGAATTGGGAGATTTGGTTTTCAAGATTATACTTATATTGCAGCAGAGGGGTACAGTGGTGGAATTTGGTGTCTCTGGAATAGTGGGGTTTGTAAAGTTGAAGTGATGGAATGTCACCATCAATTCTTGCATTTATACATTGAAAATTCTAGAATGGAACGTTGTTTCTTTACTGTTATTTACGCTAGTCCTCCCGTGGTGGGTCACTGCATCTTGTGGGAGGAACTTCAATGTCTTGAACGTGACATACATGAACCGTGGGTTATAGGGGGTGATTTTACTGCGACACTCTTTTCTTCTGAGAGATGCAAAACTACTCCTAATGGCACACCATTGACTATGATTTCAGCACGTGGTATGATGAGTCTTCATTTACGGATATTGGCTTCGTGGTGCCATGTTTTATATGGAAGAGGGGTAGCACCGAAGCGCGTCTTGATCGGTTTCTTGCTAATGAAGCTTGGTGTCACCTTTTTCCTAATGCTAGAGTCTCTCATTTGCCCTCATACAAGTCAGATCATCACCCCATCCTTCTCCAACTGGATCGTTGTGTTGAACGTCGTAGTCGACCGTTCCGGTTTATTGCTTCGTGGGTCCTCTACGAGGATTTTAGCGAGTTCATTCTGGATAATTGGATTGATGATATTGAGTAGAACCAGAACTTGAATCAGTTTGCATAGGCTTGTAGCTCCTGGAATAGACATGTCTTCGAGCATACAAAAAGAAGGAAGAGAAAACTGTTAAGGCGTATGGATGGAATCAACATAGGTTTGGAACACGACTTAAACAGTGATTACTATGAAGAGATTTTAGTTTAGTCATGGAAAGAGTTTGAGGAAGTCTTGGTTCAAGAGTCCCTTTTATGGGCACAAAAGGCAAGAGTGGACTGGGTTGTATACGGGGATAGGAATATGAAGCTCTTCCATTCTCGAGCAAATAAGCGACGAAAAATAAATAAAGTGGATGCTATCCGTTTGGAGAGGGGAGAATGGTGCTATGACCTTGAGGTATTAAAACGAGAAGCTACCTCTTTTTCTGCTTCCTTATTTATTGAAGATCTTTCTTCAAGAGACCCGCTGCGCTGTGATGTTCACTTTCTGGAGCTTGATGACGTAGAAGTGTGTCCTTGTGGTCGGTATGTGGAAGAGTCAGAAGTTAAAGAGGAGCTGTTTAGTATGGGAGCACTGAAATCGCCAGATCTGGATGGTTTCAACGCTCTTTTCTTTTTTAATCAAACTCAATAGGATACGGTTAGGAATTCGGTAGTAAGCTATGTCAAGCATATTTTCTCTAACCCAGTAGATGTTAAAAAGATCAATGGGACTTTTGTCGTGTTAATCCCTAAAAAAGACCCTCCAGCAACATTCAAGGATCTTCGGCCCATCAGTCTTTGTAATGTGGTTTATAAAGTGATTATCAAAATTGTGGCCAATACATTGAAAGTTTTTCTTCCTCTCGTAATTTCCCCCAATCAATGTGGTTTTGTCTCGGGCGCCATGGCTCAGATAATATTATAGTTGCTCTAGAGGTTATTCACTCCATGCGTTCTATGAAGGGGAAAAAAGGTTTTTATGGCCATTAAGATCGATCTTAAGAAGGCTTATGATAGAGTTAATTAGGATTTTTTGATTCAAAGTTTGAAGGAAATGAATATCCCCTCTAATATTACTACCCTTGTTGAGAGTTGCATTAGTTCGGCTTCTTTGCAAGTCCTTTAGAATGGCAATAAAGCGGAGGCCTTTAATCCCTAAGGGGGGTACGACAAGGGGACCCAATGTCTCCTACCTTTTTGTCATCTACATGGAAAAGCTCACTCATCTTATTCAAGAGAATATAATTAAAAAGGCTTGGCGGCCAATCTGACTTACTAAGAATGGCCCACCTATTTCGCATCTCTTCTTTGCGGATGATATTATTCTATTTGCGGAGGCCTCTCTGGAGCAAGCGAACCTGATTAAGAACTGCCTAGATACTTTCTGCAGCTCCCTTGGTCTGAAGGTTAATTTTCGAAGACTCATGTTTGTTTCTCATCCAATGTTAACCATAACAGGTGTTCGGAAATTAGTGCCTTTTTGGGATTCACCTCAATGGTTGATTTAGGCAAGTATTTCGGAGTTCCACTTCTGCATAAGAAGGTAAATAAAGAATCTTTTAAAGAGATTGTGGATAAAGTGAAGTATCATCTTGACCAGAGGAAAACGACTTCACTGTCCCTCGCTAGGAGGACTACTTTAATTAGCCCGGTGTCTTCTGCTATCCCGAGCTATGCTATGCAAACGACATCTCTCACAGCTACTTCATGGGACACCCTTGACAAGCTTAATCAGAATTTTCTCTGGGGTCATACGGAAGAAAGGAAGAAGGTCCCTCTAGTGGCTTGGGATGCTATTTGCCAACCTAAACAAAAAAAGGGTCTCAGTCTGAGACATGCCAAGCTGCAGAATCATGCACACCTTATGAAAATTGGCTGGAAACTAGTGCATTGTCGTGATGATTTCTGGGCGCGAGTAGTTCGAGATAAATACTGATGTGGCAACGATCTTCTGCCAAAGATTGACATAGAGCAAAATGGGTCAAATGTATGGGTGAGTATCAAAAAGACATAGAAAAAGGCGGAAGATGGGATAGAACTTCTTGCTAATAGGGCTATGGCTAGATGGAAGCACGATCGTAGTGGAGTGCTCACAGTGAAGTCGGTGTATAAACAGCTCACTATTGCTGACTCTGCTATGGATCCGCTTTGGGGACATATCTGGAAGCTCCGTCCACCCCAACGATGTCATACAACATTATGGCTTGCAGCTAGAAAGGGTCTTCTAACTAATGCTAATGTAAACGGAGCATGTCGAATGATGATATATGCCCGATCTATAAAGGAGAAACTAAAAGTGTTTTGCATGTATTCTGGGACTATTATGAGATGAAGCTTTTATGGAGCAAACTCATTCACCGTTCAAAGTGGAAGTTGTTTTTTGACTCTACTTTAACGCTGCATGAATGGCTAAGAAGGAATATATCTACTCAAGCAATAAATGGAGAAGATTGGAAGGAGCTTTTCTCTGTCATATGTTGGTGGCTTTGGCGTAAAAGAAATCTCTGTGTTTCAAGGACAAAAGGTTAATAATGACGCTATTATGGCAAATTCTATTGCTCTCCTGGACAGCCTGAAGCAGACCCAATGTCATTTATCTGGGGCCTCTCTCTTGGGTATCTGTTTACACACTAATAACCATGGTTGGCAACCCCCAGCTCAAGGATGGATCAAGTTGAATGTAGATGGAGCCTTTTCCCCCACAAGTCTTGCATTTGCATGCGGTGGTCTTCTTCGGAATAAGGCTGGTAATTCCATTCATGGGTTTATCTACATAGTAGATGACGGAGATGCACTACATGCAGAGTTATAGGCATGTCTCCATGGACTAAAACTTGCATGGGATAGTGGACACCGGCAAATTACGCTGGAATCTAACTCCGGCAGTGCACTGGAACTTATCGCAGCCCATCCAAACGAACACCATATGGATTATCGTGTTCTTTAGGAGATCAGATCGATGCTGCACAAGGAATGGGATGTTAAGAAACAACATGTGCGAAGGGATAATAACAAAGCAGCTGATTATCTTGATAAGGAGGGTCTTACAGTTTTGTGTGGCCTTCATGTAGTTACTTCTGCACCTACTGCATTGCTGGCTATTATAGAGGTTGATCGCGAAGTTTTGTGCAACTACTACGGACTGATGGAAAGCTTCCCGTTTTAAAAATCCAAAAACAAAAAAACACTAAAAGCTGATGTTTATAACTACCTATGGGATGGATCAACTAACTTTTCTGGACATATGAGCTACAATAACAACCTAATCATATATTGTTAGCATGTTCAAGTGTAAGTAAACTTAAGTTAATATACGATGTTTCCCACCAGATAAAATTGGGCTTAGTGAGTAATATATAGTAAAGTGAAATTAATGACTCATAAAATTGAGCCTTAAATTATGAGTTAAGGTGTGATGTTCTTTACTAGTTTATTATTCCTTTATTTTGAGTTTTTCTCCCTATTTCTTACCTATGTCTGGTACGAGGGAGTTAGGGTGTGTAGATGGAATGGAAGAGAAAATTTTAATAAACTTAATTTTTAAAAAAATTAGGGAAGTGAGGTTGTAAAATTTTAATAAAGGAAAGATGTAAGATAAAAGAGTAAGCAAAATTAGTTAAAAGCTCTTAACCACAGTTCTTTAATTGTTTTTTTTAAATAGAGTTCATTAAAATTTTCTCCTCTCTCCTATTTCTTTTATTTTCCTCGTACCAAATGGACCTTCAAACTTAATAAGTAACATCTAATAGGTGAAAAGACCCATAAATTTAAGTCCTAGGGTTGCAAAGATGTCGTGTCAACTACTTATCACCCATTTATTTATTCTCTCCCCCTATTCCAAGTTTCACTCCCCTCCCTTATCCGTATAATGTCCTAACGAGTAAAGCAATATTTAACATAGTTGAAAAATAGTCAATCTTTTTCATAAAAAATTTATATTTTGAAAATTTTAAAATAAAAATGAAAGGACTAATTAAAAAACCCTTTTATACATCCTCTTAATAAAGAGTGATATTTTGAAATCTAAAGTAGGAGATGGAGAGAAAATATGTTCGAAGAGAGCAAGATTGAAAGGAAGAAGAGGTAGAGAGAGAGATAATTAAAAAAGACTTATCTTTATAGTTGTAAGTACACATCGCTCGTAACACTCAAAAGTTATATACAACAGTAAGTTTGACATTTTTATATTATTCTCATAATTTCATCATCACAGAAGGATCAATATGCCAGTTTAATTCCCACCTAGACGACTAATCATCTAGTGATTGCGAGTCAAGCAGCAATATTGTTATTGGGTTGCTCGATCAATCAAAGTAAAATAAAGAATCAAAATACAGATGCCATTTGGAATAAAAATCTCCTCAAGAAAGGATAATCAAGTAATTTCCAGAAAGCACAAATCATCCTATAAATTTGTGCTCCATCAAGTCTTAGAGTATCCATTGAGAATTTTGGTTTAGGTTCAATGGCGGACAAACTAGGAAATCAGAAGACTTGGATGGTGAGTATGATTTTCTTCTTGTTGTTGTGTTTTGTTCACATGACAATGGCAGGTCAAGAAACAGTCAACAAAGCTAAGGAACTAGAGGTTGAGCAACTTTTGAAGAGGTTGAATAAACCAGCCGTTAGATCCATTAAGGTTACAGTTTAGCTCCCTTCCACTATTTTTGGTTAATTATGATTGACATTTAAATTCAAAAATTTGACCACTATTCATTCAATTTTAACTTTGTGTTTGACTACCAATTTGCAAACTTAGTTTCATTTTATGTGAAAGAAGAGATTATATGATTCATTATGCTTTGGCAGTTAACGTTCTTATATAGTAGAATATCAAGAACATGCATTATGCTAATTTTGTCGAGTTCCACTTAAGAAGAAATTTATATATTTCTGGGTTATCATTATATTTGTGTTAACGTTTAGTATTATAAAATAAATAAAACAGAGTCTTGATGGTGACATAATCGACTGCGTACATATTTTAAATCAACCAGCTTTTGATCATCCGAAGTCGAAGAATCACAAAATTCAGGTAAAATAATTTATTTGATTATTTTTCCTTTTTGTTATATAAATTGGATTTTCTCGCCTACAATTCTGAGGCTAATAATTGTATTCTATATTCGATGAAGATGAGGCCAACATTCTATCCAAAAAGAAGCAATTTTTCACAATCAAACCCATTGCTCAATTGTGGCACCAAAGTGGAAATTGTCCAAAAGGAACCATTCCGATAAGAAGAACAACAAAAGATGACGTATTGAGGGAAGATTCTATCCGTCAATTTGGGAAGAAAATCAACCAGACCATTCCTGATCTGTCTGGATCATTATACTCTAGTAATGACCACGAGGTACTAATATTGCTAGTTATAAATTTCTACAGATTAAAAAAAAGATAGAAAATCAGTATGCAAGTCCCTCGCTATAATATATTTTCACCTCATTTTTAATTCAGTTCTAATTATAGTTTTTCCTTTTCATATGGTCCTTATAGTTCCCTTAATAATAGGTATTAGTCCCTATGCTCATTATTTGTTAGTTTGTAAGAGGAAGGGCATGACTAACCATAATGACATGGTTCTCATATGCGCTCGACATGCATCTGAATTAATTTACCATGTTGATTTAAATACAATCATCAAAACCAGCCAGATTAGATTATACAGGATGCGTAAGGAGACAACTATGAACATAACAATGTATTTTTATGTTGATAATAAAGAAATTTTATTTTTCCAAAAACTTTTTTATTTTGTATTTTGTGACAACTTACTTGCATTTTTAGTTAGTATTCACATAAGCTCTAATTAACAGATTATTAGCATAAGAACTAAAACCTATAATTGGGACCTAACTAAACATCCAGTGAAACCATAAGAACTGGCCAATTAATTTTTCCCAAAAGACTTGTTTGTGTAGGAGTTTTACATGTATAGATTATATCATTATATTTTTTTTTTTGTTTCGTTGTGTTTGGTGCCTCTAGTATGCCATAGCTGATTTGAGAGGAGATAGATATTATGGAGCCCAGGCATCCATAAACATTTGGAAGCCCCATGTTCAAGAATCCAATGAATTTAGCATCTCTCAAATTTGGATTGTGAATCGTGATGATTCTAATAAGGTTGAGACCATCGAATCTGGTTGGCAGGTATATATACTTGTATATGTATATATATTCCATATATAATTTCTTTGACATCACATGCACATGGATGAGTACATTTCTATATTTATTTTCAAGGAATACTATTTTTGATCTGTCTGTTCCTTGGTTTAGAAAATCAGATCTATCAAGGACTATATGGGGATGATAACCCCAGACTTTTTATATATTGGACAGTAAGTTGAAATCTCTCTTACCAACCTAGCTATAATTTCTTGTGTCCTCAAATATTGTATTTGTTGTTATATATGAATTAATTACTGTTATTATTTTTAATACACACACACACACACCCCTTTTTCTTGCCCACAGAGCGACTCATATGACCGCACTGGATGTTACAATCTTGGCTACTCTGGCTTTGTTCAAGTTGATAATAAAGTAGCAGTTGGAGGCAGCCTGCAACCATTCTCTGTATATGGTGGTTCTCAATATGCATTCTCCATCCTTATCTGGAAGGTAAGGTCGTTTTGAAAACAGAAAACCAAACAAGTGTACATAAATGATTAATTTTATTGGCTCAAACATACAAGTTAAATGGCTAAAACTTGAAGAACTAAGGTAAATGAGCTAAAGTTCATTCATTGAGTTATAACCAAATCAAAAGTACATAAATGATCAATTATGATTAACCCGTTCTTTTTCCTTCTTGCAATCGAGAAAATCGGGTAAAAAGTTTCTATTTGAAAATTTTATTGGCAACAAAGATCTTATATACTTTTAGGCATAAAAAAGTACGGGTACTTTGTAGGATTTCATAAACAGACGATACTTATACTCAAATTTAGATGTTTCTAGTAAATAAAATTTCTAAATAAGGACTGTTCACCGATTTTCTTTTCGTGATAAAACATATAGCCCTTGAGAAATCCAAACAATTCATATCAGCAGTAATAAACTGAATGAAACCCTAATGGCATAATATCATATGAATCCCTGTCATTGGGAAAAAATATAACAATAAATCTTCGTGGTAAAACATATAGCCTTTGAAGAGCAATGATTTCTGTCTCAAAGGTTAAATGTGCACTTTGGTGTTCTTTTATGATTGTACTTAAGCTCACTTTGACTTGATTATTTACTACTTATGCATTTCACTTGTTAGTCCATTTCATTGATTTGGCCATAGTTTCCAACATTACAACCCTTCAAGTCCCCTTGATCATGAACCTAAGGTATATTAGTGGTGGAGATATTAGAATTTCTTCAAGCTTATGGTAGGTGCTAATCTAGGTGGATTGAGTGAAATTTTTCCCATTTGAGAGATAGAGTGAAACACTTGTACCGTATGTGAGTTCTGTTATGTTTCTCTTCTTTTTCCTGCTATGTTTCTTGTGTTAATTTCTTTGCACTGAAGTATTCTATGATTGTTGATTAATAAGAATAAAGGTTGCTTGAGTTAATTGCCATCCATACTTAGTCGATCTTATGGTTGCTTGCATTGAATCTCTCTATTGGATTCTTCTTTAATAATGATGTTTTGCCCAGGAGGCAAAAGGTTAAGTGTGGGGGAGTTGACAAACTCAATTATTTTTATATATTTTGATATCTTTATAATGGGTTTTTTTTTCAACTTAATTAGTCTTTTTGGCCTAATTGATTGTAATTGATTTTATATATTTTATTTTGAATTATTTTATAGGGGCAAAATTGTTATATTTTGGTTTAATTGTGGCCTAATTATTTTTTGAGGACAATTAATGCTACCTTATCCTTGAATTTTGCTTGCAGGTTTTTTTGGAAGAAATAAAATGAAAAAAAATAAAAAAATTAAAAAGAAAGGGGCAAAACGTTGCGT